TTTTTTTATGAAATAATTTATGTATATCAATTATTTAAATAGTTAATTATATTGTTTATGTCATTTTACTTTTCGGTGACAACTCTCGAAACAACAACTAGAGCTTCAAGCTCAGACAATGTATGATCTTGTAATTGATTATAATAATAAAAATTGTTCAGAAAAGGCAGTAAATATTGCTGTTTTTTACTGTACGTGTAACAAATTGAATTTCTTAAATAGATAGATAGATAGGTAGATAGGTAGATAGATAGATAGATAGATAGATAGATAGATAGATAGATAGATAGATAGATAGATAGATAGATAGAATAGATAGATAGATAGATAGATAGATAGATAGATAGATAGATAGATAGATAGATAGATAGATAGATAGATAGATAGATAGATAGATAGATAGATAGATAGATAGATAGATAGATAGATAGATAGATAGATAGATAGATAGTAGATAGATAGATAGATAGATAGATAGATAGATAGATAGATAGATAGATAGATAGATAGATAGATAGATAGATAGATAGATAGATAGATAGATAGATAGATAGATAGATAGATAGATAGATAGATAGATAGATAGATAGATAGATAGATAGATAGATAGATAGATAGATAGATAGATAGATAGATAGATAGATAGATAGATAGATAGATAGATAGATAGATAGATAGATAGATAGATAGATAGATAGATAGATAGATAGATAGATAGATAGATAGATAGATAGATAGATAGATAGAGATAGATAGATAGATAGATAGATAGATAGATAGATAGATAGATAGATAGATAGATAGATAGATAGATAGATAGATAGATAGATAGATAGATAGATAGATAGATAGATCGCTCGCTCGCTCGCTCGCTCGCTCGCTCGCTCGCTCGCTCGCTCGCTCTCTCTCGCTCGCTCGCTCGCTCGCTCGCTCGCTCGCTCTCTCGCTCGCTCGCTCGCTCGCTCGCTCGCTCGCTCGCTCGCTCGCTGCTCGCTCCTCGCTCGCTCGCTCGATAATAGATAGCTCGATAGATCGAGATAGCTCGCTAGATCGCCCCCTTTGGGTTTTCTCTCTTTGATTGAATTTCTTAAATGTCTTTCTTAAATTCAATTTCTTCCTATTGTTTTACTTTCCCTCTTCCATTATTAATTGTTTAATTAAATATTCAACTTTTAACAAATGTTTTTCGTTAGAAATTTAATAATTTTTTTGTTTGTTTTTTATACGATTTGTTATGCAAAATACTTTATGTGGTAATATCTGTAAGTTTTTAATAAATATTTACAATAACAATTAATTTCTCACGACACAGACAACCGGTTCCGGAGATTCATTACTTATAATTATTTAGCTGCTAATATTCAATTAGATCATTGAAAATAATTCGAAATAATATTAAATCAACAAAATTGTTTGCTTTGAACAATGTTTCGTTTTTAATAAGGGAAAATATTTATTTCTTCTCAAATACGTTATTATCTTTAGTAAGATGTTTAAAATTGATATTAAATCAGGAAATGAAACTTACTGCGCGGTGCAAAATATTCCTTATTTGCTTCACAGATGAATTTTTAATTCACTGATTGTTTTTTTTTAAATTGTTGAAAATATCAATAATAAATTATTCAGAGACCATCAAACTGTTGACCATATACAGTTTGAGAATTATTGTGTAGTGAATATATAAACCCTAGCATATAAACCATAATATAAATTATTATAGCATATTGAGTGTTATAATTTTATAACACTTTAATATATGTATGAGTATAACACATGAAACATGTTCCAACTTTTATACCACTTAAACTAATACTGTCTTACAATTAATTTGTTTTTAGTGATGTAGACAACCTTTTATTCAGTTTTACAACCGTTTATCATACGGTAAATGTCTTTGCTATGTATAACAATTATGAACTAAATTATAGCACATTATTTGCGCATGTTCAATTTTTCTTTTAAGGCGAAATTGTCTTGATTATCTAACATTTACTGAGTTTTTAACAGTAATAGAAACCAGTGGCTGTTAATAGAGTTAAGCAAGTGATGTGACGACTTGGTGTCACCCGGGTTTTACGCGTTTTAAAGTACCAAAGTTGTTTTCCACTAGACTTACAGTACTGGCGTGACTAGGCTAGAGATTGTACTATAGAATAGACCATAGACTAGAATATAAACTCGAATTCAATATTACATAGACTAGACTACTGATTAGACTAAGCTATGGACCAAACAATAGAGGAGTCTAGAGTCTTGATTATAGATAGAACTAAATGCCAGACCAGCTTAGGCTGTATAACTAGACTAGACTATAGACAGGGTTAGACTATAGACTAAACTATAGCAGACTAGCTTATAGACTTGACTATAGACTAGGCTATAGACTAAACTATAGACTAAACTATAGACTAAACTATAGACTAAACTATAGACTAGACTATAGACTAGACTATAGACTAGACTATAGACTAGACTATAGACTAGACTATAGACTAGACTATAGACTAGACTATAGACTAGACTATAGACTAGACTATAGACTAGACTATAGACTAGTCTATAGACTAGACTATAGACTAGACTATAGACTAGACTATAGACTAGACTATAGACTAGACTATAGACTAGACTATAGACTAGACTATAGACTAGACTATAGACTAGACTATAGACTAGACTATAGACTAGACTATAGACTAGACTATAGACTAGACTATAGACTAGACTATAGACTAGACTATAGACTAGACTATAGACTAGACTATAGACTAGACTATAGACTAGACTATAGACTAGACTATAGACTAGACTATAGACTAGACTATAGACTAGACTATAGACTAGACTATAGACTAGACTATAGACTAGACTATAGACTAGACTATAGACTAGACTATAGACTAGACTATAGACTAGACTATAGACTAGACTATAGACTAGACTATAGACTAGACTTAGACTAGACTATAGACTAGACTATAGACTAGACTATAGACTAGACTATAGACTAGACTATAGACTAGACTATAGACTAGACTATAGACTAGACTATAGACTAGACTATAGACTAGACTATAGACTAGACTATAGACTAGACTATAGACTAGACTATAGACTAGACTATAGACTAGACTATAGACTAGCTATAGACTAGACTATAGACTAGACTATAGACTAGACTATAGACTAGACTATAGACTAGACTATAGACTAGACTATAGACTAGACTATAGACTAGACTATAGACTAGACATAGACGACTAGACTAGACTAGACTATAGACTAGACTATAGACTAGACTATAGACTAGACTATAGACTAGACTATAGACTAGACTATAGACTAGACTATAGACTAGACTATAGACTAGACTATAGACTAGACTATAAGACTAGACTATCGACTAGACTATAGACTAGACTATAGACTAGACTATAGACTTAGACTATAGACTAGACTATAGACTAGACTATAGACTAGACTATAGACTAGACTATAGACTAGACTATAGACTAGACTATAGACTAGACTATAGACTAGACTATAGACTAGACTATAGACTAGACTATAGACTAGACTATAGACTAGACTATAGACTAGACTATAGACTAGACTATAGACTAGACTATAGACTAGACTATAGACTAGACTATAGACTAGACTATAGACTAGACTATAGACTAGACTATAGACTAGACTATAGACTAGACTATAGACTAGACTATAGACTAGACTATAGACTAGACTATAGACTAGACTATAGACTAGACTATAGACTAGACTATAGACTAGACTATAGACTAGACTATAGACTAGACTATAGACTAGACTATAGACTAGACTATAGACTAGACTATAGACTAGACTATAGACTAGACTATAGACTAGAATATAGACTAGACTATAGACAACTATAGACTAGACTATAGACTAGACTATAGACTAGAATATAGACTAGACTATAGACTAGACTATAGACTAGACTATAGACTAGACTATAGACTAGACTATAGACTAGACTATAGACTAGACTATAGACTAGACTATAGACTAGACTATAGACTAGACTATAGACTAGACTATAGACTAGACTATAGACTAGACTATAGACTAGACTATAGACTAGACTATAGACTAGACTATAGACTAGACTATAGACTAGACTATAGACTAGACTATAGACTAGACTATAGACTAGACTATAGACTAGACTATAGACTAGACTATAGACTAGACTACAGACTAGACTATAGACTAGACTATAGACTAGACTATAGACTAGCTATAGACTAGACTATAGACTAGACTATAGACTAGACTATAGACTAGACTATAGACTAGACTATAGACTAGACTATAGACTAGACTATAGACTAGACTATAGACTAGACTATAGACTAGACTATAGACTAGACTATAGACTAGACTATAGACTAGACTATAGACTAGACTAGACTATAGACTAGACTATAGACTAGACTAGACTATAGACTAGACTATAGACTAGACTATAGACTAGACTATAGACTAGACTATAGACTAGACTATAGACTAGACTATAGACTAGACTATAGACTAGACTATAGACTAGACTATAGACTAGACTAAAGGCTAGACTATAGACTAGACTAAAGGCTAGACTATAGACTAGACTAAAGGCTAGACTATAGACTAGACTAAAGGCTAGACTATAGACTAGACTACAACCTGTGCTATTGACTACTATGGGGATTGCATATTAAATATTTTTATATGAATTTTCCTTGCCTGATCTACGTCCGATTTTATATTTTTCATTATTTTCTCGTTATTTAAGGGTCGTTATATGGATGATAGTGCACGCAGTATGATCACAGTGATTACAGGTTTTCATTATTGTGAAAATATCGCTCATCCCTACATTTCAACTAAAAGATCCATGCCAAATAACGATCTCTATAATATGTTTTTTTTTAAAAATCTTAAAAAATCCTCCTTTGAATAAAATAAAAACAAAATTTAAATTTTTTATAGTAAAATTTCTTTATTATTACTTATTTTGTACAAAAATATTGTACAAATTTTTAAAGCAGCACTTTATTTCGCCATCTCCATCGCTTCAGACAGACATCGATCTCTCTACTTCTTTTTACTTAAAGTACGTTGTTTCTCAGCATGTTCGACCACCTTTTCATCAACATACAGACCCTTGCGGCGTCTAACGCTATCCATATAGAGTTTGGCACGATTTGCCGAATCGGCTTTTTCACCAAAATGCATAAATTCCTCTTCCGTTGTAGGAACCCAAAATGGATCAATATCAATAACCTAAAAGTAGAAGAGAAAACAAAAATAAATAAATAGATTAGTATAATCATTTTACAGTTAACAATAAAAGATAAATGTCAAAATAAGGATTAAGTAGAGAATTTTAAGGACATGACGCCTTCAAGGAAATATGACAGAATATTTTTTGTTGTAATTTCTTACAAACATTTAACAGCATGCAAGGATAACGAAATGTTTAGATGAGTGAGTGAAATAGAAACAAATCTTTAAATTTTGTTGTTTTTAAAGCAATAACTATTAATGAAATAGTGTGAAAATATTTAATAAAATTTTCAATGGAAAAACACTCGAAAAGAAAAAGAAAATATCCTTTTGTTTTTTTATAAAAAAGGTTTATTTTAAAAAGATGAAATCACAGTTTGCGGTATTTATCTTTTGCGCCTGCTTACAGAGGATTTGGCAACTTTTCAAGTGTTTTTCTCAAGTACCTTCTATTGTCTAACAATCATTATCATGGGATGTAAAATGTACGTGATTTTCTATTTTAAAATATCAGCATTGTTGTTTTCAATAGGATTTCGATATTATATTGCCAGCATGTTTCCTTCACGAACGAATGACGTTTATTAGTAAGCAATATGCTCCCTTCATTCCTTTTATTTTGTATACTTTTTTTTTCCTAAATTGTTAGGAATTGTTCTTTTATTCATTGTTAAAATGGAAGGTGTTTTTTTTCTCATTTCATTTGTTATTCATTAAATTTTCAAGATTTTGCTTTTTTCCAAAAGACCATCAAATGCATTTTAAATGAAGGACCAGCAGCAATGTTTTTCCGCTTTGTTTTGTTGTATAGATTTCACAGGATGTGTGCACTTGAGTATTTTTGCGTGATAAAACACGCAGTCCAAACCAGTGGGTTGTCTTTTTCACAATAAAATTTCTATTTCCATTTTATGTTGTCATTTTCTTGAATGGTTTGTGTCACTTTTCTTTCGTATATTTTTGAAGACAAAATGCGCTTGAAAAATTTAATGAATTTATGAAATATTTCATTTGCTACACGGTGAGTCTTAAAGTAAGTACTTGTATTGACATGAAGTACCTTTTATTTTTATTGTGTTATTTTTAAACAATGTACGAAAAATGTACACATTGCTAAAATTTTATCAGCATGAGATGTCAAAAATAAGTCGAGTATTTTGGTACAGTGGGATGTAAAATCAACAAGCAGTGATTTTGATCATTTATCATTTTTCACTTAAAACTAAAATTTTGTATAAAGTCTAGTCTATAGTCTAGTCTATAGTCTAGTCTGTAGTCTAGTCTATAGTCTAGTCTAGTCTATAGTCTAATCTATAGTCTAGTCTATAGTCTAGTCTATAGTATAGTCTAATCTATAGTCTAGTCTATAGCCTAGTATATAGTCTAGTCTATAGTCTAGTCTATAGTCTAGTCTATAGTCTAGTCTATAGTCTAGTCTATAGTCTAGTCTATAGTCTAGTCTATAGTTAAGTCTATAGTCTAGTCTATAGTCTAGTCTATAGTCTAGTCTATAGTCTAGTCTATAGTCTAGTCTATAGTCTAGTCTATAGTCTAGTCTATAGTCTAGTCTATAGTCTAGTCTATAGTCTAGTCTATAGGCTACTCTATAGTCTAGTCTATAGTCTAGTCTATAGTCTAGTCTATAGTCCAGTCTTCAGTCTAATCTATAGTCCAGTCTACAGTCTAGTCTATAGTCTAGTCTATAGTCTAGTCTATAGTCTAGTCTATAGTCTAGTCTACAGTCTAGTCTATAGTCTAGTCTACAGTCTAGTCTATAGTCTAGTCTATAGACTAGTCTATAGTCCAGTCTACAGTCTAGTCTATAGTCTAGTCTATAGTCTAGTCTATAGTCTAGTCTATAGTCTAGTCTATAGTATAGTCTACAGTCTAGTCTATAGGCAAGTCTAGTCTTTAGTCTAGTCTATAGTCTAGTCTATAGTCTAGTCTATAGTCTAGTCTATAGTCTAGTCTATGGTCTAGTCTATAGTCTAGTATATAGTCTAGTCTATTGTCTAGCCTATAGTCTTGTCTATAGTCTAGTCTATAGTCTAGTCTATAGTCTTTTGTATGGTCTAGTCTATAGTCTATCCTATAGTCTAGTCTATAGTTTAGCCTGTAGTCTAGTCTATAGTCTAGTCTATAGTCTAGTCTGTAGTCTAGTCTATAGTCTAGTCTATAGTCTAGTCTATAGTCTAGTCTATAGTCTAGTCTATAGTCTAGTCTATAGTCTAGTCTATAGTCTAGTCTATAGTCTAGTCTATAGTCTAGTCTATAGTCTAGTCTATAGTCTAGTCTATAGTCTAGTCTATAGTCTAGTCTATAGTCTAATCTATAGTCTAGTCTATAGTCTAGTCTATAGTGTAGTCTATTAACTAGCCTATACGCTAGTCTATAGTAATTCTACTCTAAAGGTAGAATAGACCTCGATTTTTGTTAACCAACAATCAATCTTAATATTTCGTTAACATATCGCTATTAACCTGTACCTTCATCGGATATAGGGCATAGAAAGACACCAGTATGTCTGCCATTTATCAGACAAAAAGAACAAAAACAACAAAAATGCGAACACAAAACAAAATTGACTGTATAAGAAATAAACAAATGTGTGTAAATAACAAAAAAAAAAAAAAATAATACTTTATACACAAATATGTATGTATGAATGTCTGTATATAGTTAATATATCTGTATCTCGAAATGTACTAGTATCTTTAACGAATTTCTTCTTCGAACTTTTTATTATGAAGTTTTATTTACTGCGCAATTTCTAGTGAATCCTTCTTCTTCATCTTCATCATCTTAACAACAGCTGCCAGTTTCAAAATTTTCTCTTTTTTTCTTGCTTTAGCTGATTTTTGTTTTCGTTTATTTTTTCTTTTTGCTAAAGTTAGTTGTTGTATGTGTGTTTGTACAAAACATTATTTTTAAATTAACATAACCATCCGAAATTCTATACACTTCTACTAAAGTCCTTTTCACATACACTGTGCTCCCAGTATCACTGGCAGTATTCGTGTGTATTCGGGACAAATATACAAACAGAAAAAGAAATGAACAACAACAGAGTAGAGCGAAAAAAAATCTTAAAGATCGTTATCATTGTAGCTTGTTTACACGCGCATAAAACACAACAATCACTGTCAAATGAACATACCAGAACCATGCCAAGGAACCACATCATCATGCACAAAAAAAAATACAAAAATATGGAAGTGGAAGAGTGCTATGCACACTCGTATACACCCATCATACATACATGTTTAAATATTATACCTGCAAACAAATATTGGCTGAGCATGAATTCGCATTCGCATCACCACCAACCACATCATCCATTGTACATAAAAACATCTTCAAGTTAAAAATCTGTTGTTGTTTGCTTTCCTGCAATTTTTTCGTTTATTTTTTTGGTTTTTGGTGATGCGTACAAATGAGCACTACAGTTTTACACCTTTTATAGAAAAAAGGGTTTCTTAGCAGAAGAAGACACTCCACAGAAGAAGAAAAATAAAGGCTAACCAAACATTGCTCGTTTTTTTCGTTTTGTCCAAAAAAATAAGTATATTTTCTTGTTAATTATAAGCAACTTATGCAAAGTTGTAAACGAATTTGAGAATTCCCTATATGTGGGTTAGCTCTCTGGATAACAGTCAAAGTGAGTCCCATATTTGGAAACTCGTGCAATAAAAATAGTTTTGTCGACTACAATTAGCTTCGAACTTCAGACTTTTTTTATATCATGCAGCAGATTCCGTACGCTTTTGAACCAATGAGAGAGAAAGTCTCGGCAATAGTATAGTCTGTAGTCTTTAATACAGTCTAGCCTATTGTTTAGTCTTGTCTATAGTTTGGACTATAATGTGGGCTTTAGACTAGACTAGTGATAGATCTGTACTATAGTCTTATCTATAGTCTGACATTTAGTCCATTAAAGTCTGGTTTATGGTATAGTCTATAGTTTGGACTATAGTCTAACCTATTGTCAGGTCTTTAGTTTGGACTACAGTCTAGTGTATAGCTTGGAGTGGACTATAGTATAGTCTATAGTCTGGCCTATAGTCTAGTCTATAGTCTGGACTATAATCTAGTCTAAAGTATGGAATATAGTCTGGACTATAGATTCCAGACAAGACTATATAGTCTATAGACTTGACTGTATACATATAGTCTATAGTCTTGACTATAGTCTAGTCTATAGTCTGTAGTCTAGTCTATAGTCTAGTCTATAGTCTAGTCTATAGTCTAGTCTATAGTCTAGTCTATAGTCTAGTCTATAGTCTAGTCTATAGTCTAGTCTATAATCTAGTCTATAGTCTAGTCTATAGTCTAGTCTATAGTCTAGTCTATAGTCTAGTCTATAGTCTAGTCTATAGTCTAGTCTATAGTCTAGTCTATAGTCTAGTCTATAGTCCAGTCTATAGTCTAGTCTATAGTCTAGTCTATAGTCTAGTCTATAGTCTAGTCTATAGTCTAGTCTATAGTCTGGACTATAGTCTAGTCTAGTCTAGTCTAGTCTAATCTAGTCTATAGTCTAGTCTAGTCTATAGTCTAGTCTAGTCTAGTCTAGTCTATAGTCTAGTCTATAGTCTAGTCTATAGTCTAGTCTATAGTCTAGTCTATAGTCTAGTCTATAGTCTAGTCTATAGTCTAGTCTATAGTCTAGTCTATAGTCTAGTCTATAGTCTAGTCTATAGTCTAGTCTATAGTCTAGTCTATAGTCTAGTCTATAGTCTAGTCTAGTCTATAGTCTAGTCTGGACTATAGTCTAGTCTATAGTCTGGACTATTGTCTAGTCTATAGTCTGGACTATTGTCTAGTCTATAGTCTGGACTATAGTCTAGTCTATAGTCTGGACTATAGTCTAGTCTATAGTCTGGACTATAGTCTAGTCTATAGTCTGGACTATAGTCTAGTCTATAGTCTGGACTATAGTGTATTTTATAGTCTTGTTTATAGTTTGGACTATAGTCTAGTCTATAGTCTGGACTATAGTC